AGAGATGTTGCCCAATTCATCGAACAAATCAAGTTCCAGTTTCCAAAACTACATGGACGATAATGTATTGTATATTGTGTATCGGTTGGCAGGCAACTCCAGTTTGGTTAGACGCAACGCACAAGGCAATGAAACGCTGACCCCGGATCGTTATATCCCGAGATATAATCCACACAGATTAGATCCCAGAGTTTGGAAGCACTGAGTAGAGCTCGTCGAACTGGTTCGAACGAGTGCACGCACAATATTGTGTGGGGAGAATTGGAGTGGCCACAGAGGGCAAAGCGAGAGCCGAGTTAAATTGCGGCCGCACGGTAGGTGTCAAGGACGCGCAAGGCAATGAAGCGCTGACCACATAACGCGAGTTCTAGTCGCATGAAACAGATGAAATTCCCATTGGTGACAAGCTCTGAAAGATAGCTACAACCGTACAATCTTTTCCAAAATGTAGCTAGTTATATCCCGAGATATAAATGCGATGAGCCCAATTTGAACATTACTCTGATAAAATGATGCTTTGTCATCATGCAATTTCTACACATGACAGTGCGCTTTTACTTCTGTGGTTTGTGTCCGGTTTCCTTCTGTACTGATCCTGTGGTCTAACAAAGTAACGAATCGGTGTACCAATATATATATATATATGATTTTTCCCGCGGAGAGAATTTTCCTTCTAATTTAACTTCACCTCGGTGCAATTTACTAGTTGTGAACCGTGGACTGCCGACGACTTTCGTAACGCGTTCGTCATCCGATTTGAATGCTAGGCGGATAGCACAGATGCTGGGTCGAGAACTCTGAATATCACATTGGACTGGTATCCTCTGTCTACGTGTTTATCGCTGTCGAAGGACCAGCGGTATAAAAGCTTTATTCTTTAAACTGGAGTCGACACCAAAGTACTCTTATCAAGTCTCTTGTACTACTTTCCAAGTTTTGTGTAATTTCGGCTCATTGATTGCGGTGAGTAGCAGCAACAGCGAAGGCGAACTGGTTGATAGGATTCGCTTTAAACCACTTCCAAGTCCTTTGCGTGAGATAGCAATGTGACTGATCGCTACACTGTTGAACTGATTTACCATTTTTTATTACTTACTACAAATCCCCATGTGCTTCTTTGGTCCTCGAGGTCATTCCTTCGCACCTGTCTGCAATGAAATGATAATGCGCCTTCTAGCAAACGTTTGAATTTTGGAGTCGAGTCAAATTCGTTCGGCATTTAGCGGCTGTGTCAACTACGCATCACTGTAGTCAATAAAGACACATTATTCGCTCACTTGACTGTACGACAATCAGAACGCATGATAAGTCTACTAGGAAAGCTCTGTTATTGTTCCCCAATGTAGCAGCGGGTTGCTCTGATTAGCTGTGGCTGACTCCGACCGATCAAATTCATTGTCCCATAAACAACTTTTTGGTATCAGAAGCGCAAGTCTATTACATGGTGCACACTATTAGTTTTCGTTTTATTCCCGTGGTCTTCTTGAATGTCCTGTGTTCCGTTTCATCCCTTAATTACCGGTATTTGCATCAAGCTTCCCAGGTACATGCTTCTGACTGGCCAATGAGATTATAGTAGCCTTCTCAAGAAAAAAGTTGGAGTTTGTTCAATTTAGGCGCACTAATCCATTCCTCAGAGGTACTCCCTCCTAACCGTCTCTTCCGCCTTAACCTGATTAACCACATAAATTTGTGTCCCCAGATTATGGAGGTATTGATGCAAGCGCGAAACTAGATTTTCTCCCAACCGGCCCATCTAATAGGCATGTGGAAACTTGATAGGTAACAGTTTGCTTTTTTGTGTTTTGACTATCCCTTTCCTTCCTGCCTGTTAATAATCCACCTGCACCCATGTTGTCGAATTTGTTGACTCCCGCTGATAACTATGTCAGAAGTCCATCCCCACCCATAATTTGGGTACGCAAAAGCCTCAGATATCTGCAACTTGTTCCACACAGTGAGAGTGAGAGAGTGCTACCAACGGTTATCAATTGGCGCTGACATTTAGGTGGTGGCCAACGAAATGGAATGCCTCACAGGTTGGGTGCTCCCAGCATGTTTGTCAGATCTAAACACATGTCGCCACACTGAAACACACTTCGCCTACTGCTGCAAGAATTTGCACTATCTCCTTCATAACTACCACCCCCGCCACGTAAATCTCCTTTTCAGTTCGTCTTCCTCAACGACCTCTTAGACATGACTAAATAAAAGCCAGTAGATGTGCTACGCGCATGTACGTATATATTTATTCATTGGATCGTTCAACAGCCCATTGGTACGCGTCTACATGAACTGAAGTGCAGATTGTACCACACAGGAAACAATAGATTTATCACAAATAGAAAAGCAAACACTCAACAAGTTTCCGAAGGTAAAGAGTGAGATTGAAAGTGGGTGTCTCAATAGAAAAACACCTAGCGGCGGACTTAGCGCAAGTTTCACGTGTACAGATTGTTGGGTTAACTTGTCGCATGTCCCATTAATTTGGGCCAAATTAATGTACCGCAAGTGGCGTAATGCAACACCAAGTCACTTTCTGAAATGCTCTGATGTAGAATCGGAGATGATGGAATATGGAAATGTTGTGACGCCCAGTACGCCTTCACCCCACGACCGCAAGAAGAAGTCCAAGATGAGCCGGGATGCACAGTTTTTCTATTACAGCACGGCACCAGTTATATAGCTTTACAGACAAGGGCGAATCCAAGCTACTAAACGCATGAGATCCAACAGGCATGGAGAAAACACAAAATGGAACAAGCAAATGAGAATCGCGAAAAGTACGAGCCAATGAAGTGCGGCAAAGAAAATAGTGTCTGCGGAGTTAATCCCTGGGGGTAACCTTCTGGTGAGCGACCATTAAAAACGACGAGTAGCGTCCAATCCGTGTGGAGAAGTGATGCGTTTAGACAAATGCCAGAACAGTTGATAGTGTGCATGATACACACCAGGAAAATAAAAACAGGTATAATAAATATGTGTCGGCTGAATAATACATCCACGTGAAAAAGCTAAGGAACGCTGGACAAAAGAAACCAATCAGAATGTCCACAGAATGAGACGGCTGAAATTAGCTGTGGGCGATTGCGAATGAGGCTGAGGAAAGCGGCGTGTCCAAAATGTAGCAGAGAAGCAGGTAACTGCGTAAACAAAGAAATAGGCAACTAACATAATTCATGAAACTGAGGGTTAAGTAGCCAGCTCCCTAACAGGATATATTTTCCGCGGGTTAGATACAAGAGTGGAGAAAGCGTTCTGACGGCATTCCAAGCAGGTATAGTGTGCCAATTTATACTGTTGACCTCACATTGAGGAGTTGTGGCTCATATTCATGAAGGGTCGACATGCGTGGTTAGCATCTTTGCGGATCTGATACACAAATATGTGTGGTAGCTTGGCATAAGACGCTATTGTTCACTGAACTCGCCCCGAGTCTTTAGTCTCAAATAATAAGGGAGGTGGAGCAGTCTCTATGCTGACACATATTAATCGATGAAGGGCTGCACAATTTTTGTTGACAGCCTACAATTACCCTTCTCAACGTCTCTTAAAGCAGATGCAATGCTGGAAGTATGCGTCCTCGGTCTGCGCTCCCCACTTTCAGCTTCGTTACTTTCTAATAGAGTCTCTAAAGTCAATCGGAGTGTAACAGGATAACCAGCGCAAACTTGCGCAATGCTGCGGCTCTACCATACTAGATTTTTCCTCTTTTCTCCTACCGAATTAGACCTGGTTCTTTGTGGTATTGCCAAGAAATAATAGAAATGGACATAGCTCGGACTAGTCGACATTGCAATAGGCTTGGCTGAGACCCAGAGCTAGCGTCAACACGGAAGTAATAACGCAAAGCGAGCGCACGTGAAAATCGTATTAAACAAATCGAACTTGCACGAACTAATAAGGTACATTAAAAATGCAATAAAATATCGTTCAAGAATAATCACCACATTCTTGTATTAATTGGTTTGTTGCCCCTATTTAAGACTCAGCTTTGCTACACTTTCTTCTCGGCTAAAGTTAATAGCTCATCTATCGTCTTGTTGAGAATCATTTGCAAAATTATGCATCATAAGACACCGAAAGAAAACCCACATCTATTTAGCTCTGCGTTTGAGCCTTAATTATGGGAAGCCCTCGCGCTATACGGTTAAACGCAGCCTGATATTCTAAGCTTGTGAATAAACGTGAAAGCAGCCACGATGCAACAATGTTTAGAAAGACTAGTATGATGTTCACCAACAAAGTTCGTTGCACTTATACTGAGAGGTTGCAGTGCTATGTTAACAACGCAAACGAGACAACATCGTATTTGACGTTAGGCCTTGATTTGCCATTATTTCAGTCATCTAGGTATCAGAGGAGAAGTCGATATCATTTCCTATGCTCCGGTACAGTAAGAATATTATCCATGAAATGCAGGTGTGCCTTGACTACCGACGGGATCTCAGGTGTGCTGATCCTGTGTTGCCAGGTAATTTAACCGCGGTTGGACACAGTACGAGTGTAATCACCGTATAGTCAAAAGTTCAGCGAGAACAAAACCAATCAGCTACTGACAACAAGTTCACCACAATCACCTATAGGTTGACCTTTTTTTGATCATTGGGTCAAGCAATAATCTACTAGGTTCGATCACGTTTGGGGCACGAAGTGATAGAATTGGCCTAATAGTATTCGGGTGAGCAGTACACAACTAGTGTGGGCCAATCAACGTTATTATCCGCGAATCACTGAAACTCAAGGCGCACAATAAATTACAAGTAGTTTTGCAGCTTCTAGAAACTCAGCGCATTGTGCACCGTGAGGCGATATGCAATGGGCGCTACAAAAGTATTTTGCCCCGATCACATAATTAACCTATCGTGTCCATTTGATTGGCTGTTCCATGGCTCTAGTAACGACGTTTTGGCACTTCGCCGTATTTTAATTAATCGGTGCCAGATTGTACTTAGTTCCTTCCGCCGATCTTTGTTTGCATGCATTCCAACCCCGTGCAGCCTCCATTCGATGGTGAAGATGAAGAAGAATTGTTCCGAAATATTGCTTCTCGTGATGTTGTCTACCCTAGACACATGTCACGTGAGGCGTGTTTGATCTGCCGTGCGGTGAGTCGGTGTTTGCAGCTGTGCAATTTAAAAAGCATTGAATTTGATGTAATTAATTCTCTTTCGAGGTTGTGTCTGTAATTACGTTTCACATAGTGCATTCAAACTTGGCTAAACGCAATCACTACTTTCGGGCGCGCAGTTTTTGGGATTTGAAATCAATACTACCTGGTTTCACACCTCTTGATCTGGCTAGACGACTAGATTGAAACTGACCGAGTACTTAGATAGTAGCTCTTATATTATTCGTATCTATTTTACAAACAAAGTACATAGGGTAGCATGTATTGGACGATAATGGATGAAAAGGCTTGCCTAAAGTTCACCATCTCAGGGATATCGCCATTCTCCTGTGGCGGACGAACGAACGGACACGACAATTACTCGGACTGGATTTGGACATTATACCTGGATACTGGCATACCGTGCTGGATACCTCGTTAACCACTAGTTGATTAAGGTAAATCTGTCCCTTGATGTTATTTATGCAAGTGAACGTGAAGTCACATGGTTTATTCCATCATATGTCCCAGTTGCGATTAAAAGCCCTAAGGGTGAACAACGGTAGGTATCGTCGTTTACAAGGGTATCTCATTCTGCCCAATCGGATGTTATAAAACCACAGTCACCTTTACAACCATTACCTGGAACTCGGACATTCAATCAAACTAAGCGGTCCCTAGTTGAGGCTGAGCACAAATGTAACCTGTTTGAATACAACCGGAATTATTCCCTTTCCAACTATATCAGTCCTGGAACACTCTTCTTGCTTGTGAGATTTCTGTGATCAATGCACCAATCGCAATACCCTTTTATGACCCACGTTCACTGGGTGCGGACGGAAAAAGGACAGTGACTGCAGCAAACAGCCCCCCATGGAGTCGAAGCAAGAGGAGTAACATTTGTGTTAATGTAAATAACCTAATAAGTCTGGCGACGCCAGAGTTAGCTTGTTGACAGCGATTTTTCTTGGTGTTGCATTCCACCACACCATCATAACGGGTATTATAGCATTGTTCCCTTATCTTATATTCTCATGCACACTAAAACGGTTTGGTCACTTGTCTGTGTAAAGTATTCGTTTGTGGTCACGCAATTCATGTAGCTCACGCTACCGATCCTTGCCCAGTAGTTTGGCACATCTGGAACCAATGACAAAAATTGTTTGGTAGCTTGCTTCCTGAATTTCCTTGATTCTACAGGTTCCCACCGCTCTCAGAGTAACTTGGTCGGTCATTCTCATAGCTATCTTCCCAATAAACTATCGGATTCGGCTTAGTTGCAAAGGTTGATCCTGAGTTAATTCATCATTTTTAGGCTAACAACTATACGGTGACAGTTTCCGTCTCGAGAAACGACCCAGTAATGCCTATGCATAAAGCAACTGGCTTCGCTTATTTTTAGTATGTCGAGCTGCAATGTCTCCTCACACCGGAGAACGGAAATTTCAACAAACGTGATGCATAAATTTTCATAGTGAAATCTTTTCTCACGAGCAAAGCATTGTAAGTCAGAGACTGACTGATCGGGAATTCGCATACCGGGTTATCGTGTTACCGAGCATCGATGTGTTCTCCTACTTGGCCCACATTCGCCGTGTTGGTCTTCGGTACTCCATCCTATGATAACTTTCATACGTTTTTATATCGTGTCACTGCCTGAACACATAGTGATTTCTTACGAGCAGACAAATTCTATGAAGTCAAGGCATGACAGGCCTAGTGACCAGTGTTCAGTAGGAATACGTGATTAAGCCAGCGGAGTCAATGAGTTCTCAACCAACCATAGAGTAGTTGTAGAGAGTGAAAATTTCACCGTCTTGAACTTTAGGTCGCCTATCCGTCGTTCCTCACGGATGGCTTGCAGTTACAGATTTTATCACCATGGGATCAATGGAAGTTGTCACAGCGTATCATAAGTAGGAGACATGCGCATCGAGCATTTGAGTTAACCTGATGGAGTTTCAGCAGGCCCTTCAACATTGTTTTGCTCGGTTTTTATGTTACTATGTTGGCCGCCTCATTATTAACCGCTCCCTGGTTGATGATATTAGATCACTAATCTGTTTCATCTCGCTTTCCCTGTGCAGCTGCTGACCAGAAATCCCCGGGATCGCTTGGGATGCGGCCCTAATAGTGAACGGGACATACGTGAACATCAGTTCTATCGCCGCATCGACTGGCATAAATTGGCCTCCAGACAGGTGCAGCCACCATTCAAACCCCGGATCGTAAGTGCAGTTGACACATCTGTTATTTCCTTAACTTCACCTTTGCACAGTGGTTTCAGATGCTCTCAAAATCTGTATATGTTGCCACAAATCGCTTTGCATAAAGTTTATTAGTTTGGTTGCATAGGTTTTTGTCTATCACTGGTAACACACTGGTTATGACGAGTTATGACCAACTTAAGAAGTCCTATTGCATCATATAAGGAATGTGTGCTTGCAGTGAACAATTTGCTAATTCAAGCGGCGTTGCGGCCTGATTGACCGCTATGTCGCTATGCGAGTGTGATAGGGACATGATCAGGAACATGTCGCGGGGCCACATGAGACCGGGCTGCCTGGTGCTAAGTGTTGCATAAACCTCGCCACCAGTTTCCTTTCTCACCTCTAGCAATCGTGCACGCGTGCCGCAGCCCACAACTATTCCGTGATAGGACTTATCCGCTTCAGACTATGTGCGGTCACTTTCGGAAGACAATTTACCATGCGAGTTCCGTGTGTAGTGCTCATATCTCGTCCGTAGGCCGTTCTCCATGCATTGTACAGGAGTGTAGTTGCTGTTAAGCCCAATTCCAAGACTGGCAAATCATTGTTTTTACAACTGCCACATAGTACATGATGATTGATGCGGTTAATGACAGTTGTCGTGATCTCAACCATGGCACAGTACCCTGGAAGTTTCTTTACTACATTGAGCCTGACGACAGCCTCAATTACCAAACGCATGAACCCAACTTATTAGGTTCAGGTATCCACACTATGACCGGAGCTCAAAAGCATAGGAACAGATTCGGTCGTCCAGTACAGCAAAGGTGGTGCTTTGCTGTCTCAGTCACTGAGGTTTCACAGTCCATTTTGGCCTAGTGACAGACTTGTGTGTGACTTGTACTGCTAGTGACCTGTAACCGCTTGTTGAAGCACATAATTTCGGAGGTTACCACACTCCATACTATGTGGATTAACTCACCTTAGCTGACATCTCTAGTTTTGGAACTGCACATGTCCTTCGAGTACAGTGGAACACGAGCCCACGAAATTTCCGCTCGCATGACTTTGGGGGTATTGAAACACCAACGGATGACGGTGTCTGAGGGGATGGAGCAAGTAAGGCGGTGTGTCCCAGTTTCCACGGCCATGCACGCCATTACCACGCAAAAGACGTGATTGTCCCGTCGCTTATCCGCCAGCTATCTTGCGTTACAGACTATTTGGTATTGGCAGCATCCGTGACAACCCAGCTGAGATTCCTCAAATTCTCTACTGTATCATATGAAACATTGGTATCCAATATGACGGCATACTGATATAAAATGCGACAATTAGTTTATTCTGAGTAAAAATAAATCCTGAACGAGTCTCGGTTGGACAAACAAACTTGTCGAAGGAACACTATGTACCGATAGACGCACTAGAAGTTTCACAGATGCTCTAGCGAGGGAAACTGCAACTTATGGAATCCATCTAAGCTAGTCAACACAGTTAATTATAAACATCTGTGAATGAAGAATGCAACTCCGCCGACTCCGCTTCCGACAACCAGCTGCAACACATGACATCACGACAGTGGCATTGTCACTGTCTTTGTAATCAATAACTTCGAATAAAACGAAGTGTTCTACGACCCAATGTTTTAGGCATCAAGGTATTTGTATAATAATAATGAGTCTAAGCCGTTTAGCCAGAATCTGTCTACCTCATCGAGATGTCCAAAATTGCTAGCGCGTCCTGTTCTTCCTTACTGAAGACTCCAGTTCGAAGTTGTGCAGTACCTGTGTTTGTTGTACAGGAATCTAACGTGTTTCAAAGAGCATCACACTGTTTCGCAGTCTATCGTTTGTTCAAAGGAATACACGCACATTTCCTAATGTGGAACAGACGAACCAGAAATCCTGTTGGCGCGGTATTTGATCTCGAGGTCTTCATGTATTTGGTTTGAAACTGCTCCAACTAATTTCACAACGGTGCGGTAGCATGAAACTGATAAGCAGAGAAAACAAAAACGCTGTATAAAGTGTATAAAGAAACACACCATTAAACCACAATGACATCTTAGGGTTTTCCCGCTCTGCGCTTCGACAGCGGTTTTGCTCTAATAAATCAGTATGGTTTCTGGTGTTTCGGGTTTCGTAGTGCACCTTTCTATGCAAGTGGCACAAGACGATCGATGAGGGTCCTTGTGCTGTCCATTCGACTAACGCGCTGTAAGGCGGCTATAAATGCTTTACCGATGTGCGATGCATCCAAACGTGGTAAGTTTAAGTACTCATGACTTCCTCTCCTCGACATCCAGTTACAAAACCATACATGTCTTTTCCCGAAAAGAATAAACGTTGAACACGTGCTCCTTCTATCTACTCACCTGTACGTATGGCAACAGCATAATTTTGCAATTTACGCGATTACACACTCAAACGATTTCGTTGGAGAGATCACTGTGGAGAAGCACATAGTCTCGATGTAGAACAAAGCGTTTTATCATCCTGTCGCTGTAAGCACTGTACTAACTAGCCGATCCATTGGTCGTGTAGCCACGTATTACCTTCAATTGGAGGAGGACAACGCACTGTTTCATGCACTGAGGTTATCACGAATCGTTTGTAACAAACTTTGTATGACCCGTACGCTCACCATGTGGTGCCCTCAATCAATCTCCGACACAAGGAAATTTGACTGCTGTTTTTACTTGCATGCCATTGCGAAAGTGCAGACAACTGGGCTGGTCCCCAGAACTAGGCCTTCATTTTGAATCAGTCACCAGTCGATCTGGTATGTTAAGATGCAAAAGTGATCATTGACAGTAGCAGACGATCCTCTTTATGTCACAGTTAGCAATCCGTTTATGGTGGCCAAGCACCACTACCCATGGCTCAGTGGTCTATTTCTTTGGCTGGTAAGAGTTAGGTAATATGTTCAGAGCTTAAAAGATCTGACAGACGCGCGCTTCTGATTAATTCCAGTAAGATGGAACTGCGTCTAACGCTTTTAAGCGGATGTGGATTGGATATCTTTCTGAGTCTAACCCCTAGGAAACAATAAACACCCCGACTACTCTCTACTGGGAGTGGGTTTATCCTAGCAGGTCTCACCACAAAGCTATCGTCAAACGTAACTAAACTTTAGGGCAGTTTCATCGTAATTGTGGGATTCCGGAGCGCTCCTTTCTGTCGAATGATTGGGTATACTTTACTTGTGGCCTGTGTTACTTACTAACTGATATAACTAGTCTCACGCGTTACTATGATGCACTTTTCCGGTATAATATGTAATGATATTGACCTTCAGAAGCATGACTTCGGTCAATAAAATGTCATCTATCTGATGGCGTAATTAGCTGTCCGGATAGTAATGTATGCTAAGTAAAAATAGGCAATTTATCCACGTAGGACGCCACAGTGATACGTACAGCGATTCTGTACATGCGTTATCAGGATGATATCCTGGTTCCCATGGATTCCGATAAGGAAATCATACGTGCGACAGACACTGAACAGTTTATACTTTAAGCTTATAGTGACGTGCAACATGGAGCAAAGTAATTGGTTTCCATACATAGACATGCTGATCACAGGGGGGTTGGATTGTTCAATCAGGCCATTTTACCAAAAGTGACATGGACAGGTCAGGATATGCATATTAAACGTTCCTCCCCAATACAACACAAACGTTCGCTTGTCCGGAAGCCGTTTCCTCGAGCCCACAGTAGTGGTACCCAAGACCCACTATAGTAGCTGGTGCGCGAGACATTACAATCGAAGGGTTATCCGATGTAGCTAGTATAGCACATTATCAACGTAGCCAAGCGAGCTCGCGTACCAAAATTTCAAAAGAAGCCTATAATCATTGAACTGCCATTCAAAGTTGATGGTAGTATGAGAATTACGGCGAAACGCATTGGTGCTTCAGCGAAAAGGGATATATTACAGCTGAGATACGCCTGCTCACGTCAACAACACCTCTGATTATGTGTTGCGTCAAGACACTTAGAACAAGGCAGTGCATATCCCATTGTTTATAAAAATTCTCTTGTAGCTTCGGGGACAACTGTCTTGGACGCACTGCCCAAAGTTTAGGGGTCATGATCAGTGAACACATTCCCAAGTGGTTACGCAACCGGATAGAATTCGGGACGACAGAACCAGCTGAGTTGAAAAATCGCACTGCTGAGCACCGACCACCGAGTCAAGTTCAAGTTCAGGTGGGACTGGAACGATAAGATGAATCCCGCAAATGTTCCTTCTTGAGCGAGTCGTTGCTCCAGGCGTTGATAGGAGTGCTCCGACTTCTTGATGGATCTAAAACAAAAGTCACTCGAAAAAACACCCCTGTCCAACAATGTAATGCCCACGTTCCTTACATTAGCTGTCCCAATGAGTCATCCACCATATAATGCGCAATCAGCCGTTCCACATTCTCAGGCTATTATTAGCTGTCTTCATGGACCGAGAATGACCATTGCTTTGTGTGGAGGAACAGCTGACTGCGTATCTTAACCTTTCGTGGTGGCATGAAGCGTGACGATAGGTCAACCACTGCCTGGCTATTCATATCATATGACCGTGTTTTGTGTATATCTGTGATTTTTGACTGATGACCTTGCATGAAATGACTGCGACATCTTACAATTTACGTCTTCCGATTTTTGTGCTTGGCTCTGCATTTAGTCAGGATACTCGTTCGTAATCGTCACTTCATGAACTTCACGGATGTTTCGGGTTTGTAATTCTTTCGTTCCGGTTGATGTTCACCGATACTGCACAACAATACTTGTGTGTTAAAAGAGATACCATCAATTTCCTCGAATAATGCTAACCGTATGCCTGTTTGCGATGTGGACAAATTTGCCTCAGCTTCGTTGTCCTAACTAAATCCAAGGAATCAACCATTGGAGGCAACTACATGCAATTACATAAACTCTTTCCTTGTCTAATTCGGAAAGCAGCGCACAATTAAAAGGCACCTTTTAGATCCAGGTGCACTGTTTCCATTAAAACTTCAAAAAGATGCTAATCGGCCAGAGTATTGTCACCATTTTCTTTATGCACGCATTATTATTACAGTGAGGACTAACCAAAAGCACTCCTTTCTTTTCCAGAAGGACAAACGTGATGTTAGTAATTTCGACCGTGAATTCACCCGGGACGCGCCCAAAATGACACCCACAGACAAGTTATTTATTATGAATCTTGATCAGACAGAATTTGCCGGATTCTCTTATGTGAATCCGGAATACGTGTTGGAAGTTTGAGTCAACTCGATATCGACCAACCACAAGAGCATTTGTCCACCACAGACCAATAAGAGCCAGATGTATTACGTGAAACCGCAGAGGATTCATGTCAGGTGAATTGCAAAGACATTGTCATCTGCCAACTTCAGACTCATACAAAAACCGGAGTATATCAGACCTTCTGGGTCCCCGGTTAGCATTTCGGGTGCACTATTCCCGGTTATGTGGTCACTCAGAAAGTTTATTCAATCCTCCGTCAAACATTTGTGCAATATTTCATCTTCCTAGTGCTTCCTCTAGAGAATGCCATTCAAAATCGGAGGTTATGTCCGTCACGTACCACTTTTGAAAAGGCTCAATAAAACATGGCTGTTCTACTTTCTTTATAACTGTACACTGTACGGCTCCGGATGATCCCCTTAATGCCATAACGATTTTGACCTAACTGTCTTCTCGTATGTCAGGGAGTAGTGGTTCTTAAATGGCTTAAACCATTTCCTCATTGTTTCTTGATTGTTTGAAGCTTTCTGTCGCATGACCGAAGGCTTCCCCATTGTAGTGTGCTTACTGTGAGCATTAAGGATGAAGTTAACTTGTTCCGTTAAGCCCCAAAGTCTAACTCTAACTCGCTTGACAATTGGACTATTTAGGTATGAAAGAATCTTTGCCTCCTCGAAAGGCGAAGTGTAAAGTACTGCTCAAGGATTGGCTTTCACCTGCTCCCGTACTCACTCTCGAAGGTGCACAACTTGAACAGTTAGGTAGTTTCGTCTACCTTGGGTGCTGTGTTTCTGCTGACGGCACTATCAACAAAGAAGTTTCTCTTCGTATTGCTAAAGCTCGATCAGCATTTGTCAATCTGAGACACTTGTGGCGTCGTCGCGACGTCTCATTCTCACTAAAGGGCCGCGTTTACAGCGTATCAGTTCGCTCAGTATTGTTATATGAATGCGAGTTCTGGCCGATTCGCGTGGAAGACATGCGTCGTCTTTCTGCCTTCGAAAACGGTTGCTTAAGGAGGATCGCTCGTGTTTGGTGGCAACATTGAGTTAATAGTAATGACGTTCGACGTCGCATCTTGAGGAATGCGAGTATTCCCTTCAACAAACTTGTTTTGTTGCGCCAGTTAAGATGGCTCGGTCACGTCCTACGCATGACACTTGAGCGTCTACCTCGTCGCGCTCTATTCGCTCGTCAAGGACCTGGCTGTAGGCGACCGCGTGGTGGTCATCCTTCCACTTGGCGGCAGCACGTAAAATCGCTGACGTCGTGTCTATCCGCTTTTGGATCCGTACGTCTTCCACGATGGGGACCCAAAGATGAGGAGTGCCAATGACTTAGCACTCTTGAAGATGTGGCCCGCAACCGGAATCAGTGGAAGAATTGTGTACAGTATTGAATTGATTCACATGTTTAATACTACAAACACTAAAATGACGAAAAAGTGCAAAAGCGGCGTGTGAAAAACAAACTAACAATGTTTTGTTCTACTTTTTGTCAAAATGTTCCACTCTTCTTGCGGCAGCGCAAAGTGCTGCCCATGCTAAATAACACACGCATTCCGTTACGCCTTGTTATTGCAGTTGATTTAATTCACCTTCTACTATGGGTTTTGTGACTTACCGTACAGGACGTTCTCCCCCTAAAACCAGCATTACATGTGGTTTGAGATAAAACTCCACACCATCCATTAGACAACAAGCGAAACTGGGCTTAAATATTATTTCTGGTGACGCATCAGTACTGCACTTTGATTGTGGAATGTAGGATTCTTCGTTAGCGTTTGTACAAACTACGTCACATGTGATTGCTCCCATATACTATTGACGGACCGAGTAAGTGCAACTCGTCCATCCAATCAAGTCTACTCAGATTCAATCCTGGCCAGTCTGACACGAAACAGGTTGTAGGAATGTACTGATCACGAAAACTAATTTGACGATGCAATCCTCGAAGTAATTTCAAGGCGATTGCATCGAGTGACCGGACTGTGTCTACCGATTTGCATGGACGCACCGTAAATTGCCGCACATTGCGCGCTCTGAGCAAAACTCGAGGAATTCTAACGGCAGTCTGGAAATCCAATCGGATCTCACACAATGCACTAGGCACATCAGCGCGGCGTCTGCATACCCCAACTTGCACGGCACTTCACGTGACGAGGCGTAGTCTGGAGATACTTGAGCGATCGCTACGTTCTGGTCGGTGTTTGAGGAAGGATGTTTCGCGGAAAATTGGATGACTATGGGCTCTGTACTGCTTGAAGTTTAGCCGTAGCACTGAAGTTGCCTTTACGTACAGGGTTTACTGTGGTAAAAAGTGGACATTGCGTTGTCAGACGAACGTACACATGGGGCAAAATTGCTGCTATTTCATGGCAGCTACGATGCCATTAAAGTAGACAGACTGACGTAGAGGTGAGAAATAAGTTTTCGATGTGCCCGTATTTGCATCAAAAGTAAATGTTAAAACACAGTTATGGTGGGCAAGCCGGTAGACAGAAAACTAGATTCCAAAGAAGCGCAGTGGGAAAATAACACCACATTCAACTAGACCTGTCACCTCAGGAATACTACCGTTTCGGTAGCGGAGTATTTTCTCGTTTTAAATATTTTACTTTCCTGTTAAGTGAGCCAACTTCTATCTGGAATTTCTCTTTCCTAAATAACCTGCGACAACTGAAGCGTACTCGGTTGTTTCAGGTCAGTTTAATGCACTTGATGAATCATGGTAAGTGCACCAAAGTGTTGTGAATATAGTAACCTCGACTCGCGTCGCCAGAGTGGCAATAATGAGGAATGACAAGTAAATGCGCTTAGACTTAAAAATGGTATTAGCAGAATGGAAGCAAGAACAAGGTGCATGTAGGTAATGGCATTAAAGTATGAGCCGCTAAACTCAAGAGAATGAATCCAGGGGCAGCGCTCACCCAGACAATGCGCCAAGTCCGATAGAGTCTCTAACCATTGTTTTGGATAGCGCGATGCCCCATCTAAGAATACGGCGTGTTCCTGCTTAACCAAGTATCTCAGTCAAATTCTTCATATCCGTATGTCACGTCACCGATTGAACACCTTGAGTTTTCACCGAACGTGGTGCAGTGACGGCGTATAATGGTCGCCTTAACCACATCACTTTTATTGCGGAAGCAGTCCTGTAAAAGCTTGCGTCTTTGCTCAACCGTAGCTTCCCTGGTGTCGAGATTACTCGCCCAGAAGCACTGGGAGCAGCGGCACGACAACTGCCAAAAGCCGTTGGCTCAGTTATTTCATCGGTACCACTTCATCTTGTATTGTCCAAAGTCATGGAGTCCATCGGTGCCGAATCATTGATGTGCTATCCGGAAAACGGCAACACCATTGCTCCCGAGCAACATGGCTTTCGTCGACAGCGATCGTGCACAACCGATTTACTGATAGCCCGGAGTAGCAAGACCGAGTCGGCTGGCGTAGGAGAGAACGTCCATGTGGTCTACTTAAATTTCTCGAAGGCATTCGACCGCCTGGATCTTCGGATTCTTCTCTCCAAGCTGCAGTATCATGGCATCGGTGACCCCCTGCTAGCCTGGATTGCTAACTTTATCCTACAATGGCAGTTGGCGGTTAGAGTTTGCAACTTGTCATCAGACACCATAAATATCGAATGTGGTGTAGTTCAGGGCTCTGCTCTATGACCACCATTGTTTTTGGTATTTGTTAACGACCTGGTACAGACGATCAGTTCTAGTTTTCCAATATTTGCTGACGACACCAAGATATAGCGCCGCATTCAGTCGGGGACCGATCCAATTATGCTGCAACATGACTTGGACATGGTATAGCAGTGACCAAATAAAGCTGCGGAGTTTCGACGTGAGCAGATTTAAAGTACTCTCTATACGACACCAGAGCACCTACTGCTAAATGCTCGGAAAGCTAGTACTGAAGCGAGCTTCCGTCGAATGCGACCAATATGATTTAAATGTCGCCAAAGCAGCTCGAAGAGATAGCACTCTAAAGGCTAAAAGGCGACCCATCAGCAGCCGTTACGTGCTTCAAATGGTGAATGACTTCCACAAAACTGGGAGTGTGTGTCACCAAAAATCCCGGGCGACCTCGCACTAGTAACGCAGATTTTGCAACTTGCACAGTTATACGTGAATTATCTAACAGCATACGTAGAATCGCCCAGCACTTTGACACCATACACTAGGCGGTTCAGAAGATTTTGAAAGAACGCAATCTTCGTCGGTTTTGTACACTCCAGGTTCAGGTATTGAATCCAAACGATCCGGATAAACGGAATACATTTTGTCGTTGATTTTTGGATCATATGTGCATTCACTCCGTAATGTTTACGGATGAATCCGTTTTCCATTTGCGTGGGACGCACAAACAAGATTTCCGAGCTAGTTCAAATCCACGCAGATACACAGCGTCACGTGCTAATTATAGCACCAAGCTGATAGTCTGGGCCGGAATTACTGGTCAGAAAATCGTTGGACCATTTTTCTTTTCCGGGAACGTAACCGGTAAGTTGTTTTCTATCACTCAACCCTTGCTTTTGCTAGCATCGTCGTACAAAGAATTGCTCCAGGCTTGCGTACTACCACAGTTGGAGGCGGACAGAGTTTGCCGTACCATTAGGTTGCAGCTTGATGGTGCACCAGCACATTATGCTCAATCGGTGCGAGAATATCACTGCGAGGAATTCGGCTGAAATTGGATCGGTAGTGAAGGCCTCATCGAGTGGCCCGCACGGTCATCCGATTTAAACCAGTCGGATTTCCCTCTGCGGATATATTTAAAACGGAGGGTTTACAGAATCCAGCCGATTTCCTTCGAGCAATTGCAGCAGCTATCACCACCGTGAAGTTGCAGAAAGTAGTTGCTAACTACATCAAGCGATTTCTTTACTGTAACCAGAATGCAGGTGGGCACTTTCAACATCTCCTTCCATGGTATCTATGTCCGTCTAACCTTGCTTCTGTAAATATATGTATCCTCGATTGCACATGACTTGAAGACTAAATCGGTCTC